GCATGGTTTTGATTTGACTCAGACTGCTACAGATAGTAACATGATATGGTACATTAAATGGACCCCACCAAGAGAGCTTCTCCCCGACTGGAGGAGGAACCCCAGCAGAAAAGTTACATATTTCATCTTGATAGGTTACTGATTAAATTTCAAATGTTTTCTGAATATGAGGAAAAATATTTATGTCCCAAACTATGAATAAAGATAGGAAAAAAAATAAAGCATAAAATTGTACAAAAAACAAGAGTTTCCATGTCTTATCATATTGTGGCTGAGAAAGGAAGAGAGGCGAGACAGATAATGTTGTTTTTCAGAGTGGTTCCTCTTTTTGGAAAAATCTACAAGGCCACATTTTCCCATGCAGGAAATGGAATTATCGTCAACACCATCACTGTGAGTGTACAGAACCAACGTTGAACAACAACTGGGAGTGAAGACTTTATATTTAGTGAGCCTGTCTTCTCTCCAAGAGGCAAAGGTTGGGTCAGACATTACTTATAGGACTCTAGATCCACAAATATAGCTGAGCATTTTAACAAAGACATGGAAGAAAGATGATCTTCAACTTATAGTCTATAGTTTTTCCTTCCGCACACACTACACCCCTCAAGGTCAGCAATAGAGTCACCTCTAGTGACAGAAAGCTGCTCCTCCCTCAGATCCTGCTACGTCCTAAACTTCCCTCTTCCTGGCAAAAGCAGATATCAGTTAACCATTGATAGATGGAAGTGAATGGATATGTGGGTCAATTCCAAGCATTTAACGACCCAGATATGTGCAAAACCTGTTCCAGGATACTTTTACTTCTGATTAAATTTGACTTTCAGGTTATGTGTCTTCGTTCCAGCACAAAGTAGGTAGTAATTTTTCAGGTTCTGACCCTTGAAAGTCCCTCATATCTGACTTCTATTCTTATATCTTATTGGTGGCTTTAAAAGACATCTCAGGTTTTTTAACTGCTTTTTTCCACGTGGCAAACATGAAAAGGCCAAAAGCAGCACTGTATTCAGGGAATCCCCTTATCTGGTGAAAAATGCTCAGTTCCCTTTCTTTCAGGTGACAGGGCAGCTACTACATAGGACTACTCTGCAAAATCCCAAAGATGCTTCTGACAATACTACAGGTTCAATATATGCTCTCACTAAAATAAGAATCATTTACTAATGCATATTATTGACCTCAGCACTAAAAAATCTCATTTTCCAATTGTTGTATTTCTCAGCCATAGTTAATAAAGCACCACACTCCCACTTCTGAAGCTGTGGCACTGATTGTATTCATTGTCGGGCTTCCTCAAAGCTGGACGAGAACAAAAAAACATCAAATTCTGTTCTCCGCTAATTTCTTCCTAGTGTGTCAGAGTGACAAATGGAAAGCCACACATTTGAGGTATTTGAACCTTCAACTGGGAGATCTTCCATCTCTAGTGCTGAAGGTAGAGGTTATGCTTTCAGCTATACTGTTGGGCTTTTTAGTGACAGATGCAAGAGGCATGAAGCCCAAGATCAGAGTGTCATAGGACAGTGAAATTTGACTGAGCCACAATGCTCTGATGAGGCCATGTCTCACCAGCTAAGCTAGGGTTACTCAAATGGCCAGAGAGATATATTAAAAAACTCTCTGTGTCTCCCACTGAACTGTACTAATTGAGCCACACACTTACAGTTCTGATATCCAAGGGGGATACCTACCAGACCGATGATCAATTTTCTTTCAGCAGCAGTGGGTAGTGCTATGGATATAAAGAACTGGGCAAAGAAAAAATATACCTGAGGCCTGGAGACCATCCCATTTACATTAGTTTGCTGGGACTCCACAACAAAATACCACAGACTAAGTGGCTTCACCAACAGAAATTTATTTTCTCACAGTTCTGGAGCACACAAGCCTGAGATCAAAGTGTCAGCAGGATTGGTTTCTTCTGAGGGCCATGAAGGAAGGATCTGTTCCAGGCCTCTCTTCTTGACTGATAAAAGGCCATTTTCTGTCTGTGTCTTCACATGCTGTGTCTGTACAACATGTCTGTGTCCTAATCTCCTCATCTCATAAGAACATCACTCATTGGATTAAGGTCCACTCTAATAATTTCATTTTAATTACCTCTTTAAAGACCCTATCTTTGAATATGTTCCATTCTGAATATGTTACATTCAGGGGTTAAGATTCAACATATGAATTTTGGCTCCCCATGATTCGGTCTATAACACCACTGGAAGCAAAAGTCCTCATTCTGTAACAAAACCCTAAGAGAATCAAGTGTGTATTCACCATATCCAGAGAACTGCATCCTCCCTTTGGAGAGGAATTCTAAAAGAAGTAGACACCTTCCACCTGTTATAAATTCTAGTAGAAGGATATAAGGTACCAGGCAATGCCAAAGACCTGGAAATAGCTGATTCCAGGGGCTGATAGACACATTTGTTCTTGGGTCTAGGTTTTTTTGAAAAACTTATGTGAGATAATTACATAGAACTATACCACCAATTAACACTCCATGTTTTCTATCTTAAGAACAAATGAACAATCACTTGGGAGATAGGATTCATTTATTACACACCTCCCATGGCTAAGAGAGGCAGTAAAGCCAAGTAGGAAGAACACAAAAGTCAAGCTGGCCTGGGTTTAAATCCTATTATAGCTCTATAATCTACTGGCTAAGTGGCTTTGGGCAAATTTGGTCTTATTCTTGCTGTGTAAAGAAGCTTACAGCTTTAAAAAGAAGAAGTATTGCTTACCTCAAAATTTTGTGTGATGGATTAAAATGAAATAACACAAGTTAAACTTGCAGCAAAAGGATAGAGACATAATAGAAATTCAATTAATTTTGACCTTATTCTCTTCCTTACTCTCCCATAAGATTTAGAATTCTAGTTCAACTTTTTAAATTGTTGATTTCCCTTGGCACTTTCCCATGCTACGAGGTACTCTTCCTCTAAGTTCTAACAGCATCCTCTATTGCACACATGGATCTTTCTCCCTATTTGAACATGCACTCCTGAAGGGCAAGATTCATAGCATATTCACATCTTCTATTCTGTGTCCCAGCAAAATGTCTGAAATCAGGGCATCATCTCTTATTTAGATCTATTGCCATATTCATAGCATCTTGCTAGATAAAATATCAATTTATTTACTAATGGAAAAACATGGAGGCACAATTGTCTATGATGGGACAATTGTCTCTTTAAAAAAAAGAAAGTCATTGAAAAATACCATACCATGTGAGCAAAATGCCATACTATGTATTATAAGAAACCATTCCTAACGCTTTCGCATAGACTAATTGTCAGCCCTCCTTCTGCCTAGCCTACATCTATCCCCAGTACAGGCCAGATTCCAATCCAAAAGTGTTTTATGGGAACCCCAGAGAACAAGAACAGGAAATGAGTTCTTCTGTCTGGCACCAAAAATTGACTTTGGCTTTCTCTATGCCTTGCATTTGTTACAGATTGAGGTTTTTGTTCTGTGTTTTTCCACCAGTTTGTTCCTTGTAGGCAGACATGATGGGTTAAGATTGTTCTCATTGATGAAGAAAGTTGATATGTTTTTGAAGGTTTCCCAAAACCCACCTGATAGCCTTTTCCCCATAGCCTATCACCACCTACGTCTCTGCCATTTTAAGACCAAGACAACATCATCTTGTAATATATATCTCTTGCAGTTCAATTTACCTGGGAATATTCTACATGAAAGCTACTAATAATTGTCTTTTCTAATCTCTCTTGGGGTCTTAAACCCACTGTCTCCAAGCAGAATTAAGGGATAGGTGGATATTGTCAAAGGCTCCTGAGAAGTTGGGACAGTGTCTCTTTTCCCAATTTCAAATTCGGGATTAGGCATCAATATATATGAATAAAAAAATATGTTCCATTCACCATTCCAGGAACTTGGCTACATGATCTTTGAGCATACACAATATATTTAAAGTAGTTATACATAATATCTCCGTTTAAGAAATAAAGGAAAAATAAAACTAAGGTAAAATAAAATGGTTGCCCAAGATCATAGAGCTAATATCTAACGTCACTACTACACTTTACTTCTGGGTATATTATATTCCAAAGTTTACATTCTAAACAATCCATGCTCCCCAATTTTGTTCAACAAAGCTCTATGCAGAGATTCCTAGATAGAAGCTGTTTAGAAACAAACATTGCCCCACTTTACTGTTTGTAGAGTGAACAGATGTTTTCCAGCGGAGGGAAATACTCATGTGACATGGATGGCTACTGTGAATGGGCTCTCACACTCTTGAATATATAAATCTACCCTGACACTCTAAATCAAATGGCAATTATGAATATATACCCAGTTTTATCAGTTGTTTTCATAGGCAGATCCACACCTCATATGTTGGGAATTATTTGGGAAATATTATTTCTAAGACGATTTTTAGAAAAAGGCTTTAGATTAACTTTTGTCAGGGAGATCCAGAATAAATATTATTGTTCCAGGTGTCCTGCTGGACCGTGTAACTGTTTACTCAAAGTGGAGAGTTGTTTCTTTGAAAATATGTGCATCAAACAGCTCTGATGGCTGCCGCTATCCTAAACCACAAACTCAGTAATTATGATTACCCAAAGTCCTAAATATCAAAAATCACAGAATATGAAAACAGAAAGATCTGTTGGGAACCTTTTGCTCCAAATTGCTCATTTTCAGATGGAGAACCTGAGGTCCATGGGAGAAATGACTTTCTCAAGTTCACATAGCATAGCAAATAAATTAAAGTCAAGACTAACTTATGAAATGTGACTCTGCCTCTAGTTTCAACTCTACTTCATCATTTTTTGACAAGAGGAGGCTGGTGATTGTTCCTATAGTCTGTTTTCTGTCTGTGGTGCTGCTTTGTAGAGCATCCTATTTGACAAAGGGTTGATGAAAAGGAAGACTCCAGAAACTGTTCTTGGTCCCTGGCATCATTTAATTGATGCTTTTTGTCCCCATTATTCTTGAACAGTCCCTCATATGTAAACACAAACACAGGCAGGAAAACCAAGTTAGATGATTCCAATTTATTGTACAAATACTGATCATTGAAAATACATAAGGATCACAAGCACACTAATAATGATACTATGCTGCATCATTGGATAGATTAGCTATGGTGCAAGAAATTAAGGCTGAATGCATAGTGTGCATTCGGTGGTCTTCATGAAGATGATCTTTAAGTTGAAATTTAGAACGATAATGTGGAGCAATGACGGTGTGAAGAGCACATCAGCTGTGTGCTCTGTGTGTGCCTGAGGTGGGCGCGTGATAGAAGGCAGGCAGAGGTGGGATGACATTTCTTAGAACGTTCTTGAGGAAAAATTTAAAAAATTGTGTGATGTACATAGTAAATATATAGTCAATGCTGTGGTTAAAATAGGAATTGAGTTGAATAAAAAGAGGTGTAATATACCATACAACTGTAAAGACAGACTGGATCCACTTCCAGAGGTCCCAGTAGGCCAACTTTAGGAATCTGGAAATGAATATATATCTTATGGAAGTGATATGACTAACTATGGATGACCAAGAATGGAGATGCAGCTTAGCAAACCACACAGTAAAAGGTTATGTTCTTTTTATTCTGCTGTCAAATTTGGAGGAACGAAATTTTATTTTAGAAAACTAAAAATGGAAAACCTGAGGTCCTGAAGTTAAAGCATAATATGTCTCTAAATCACTTCTTGTATGATCGGTGTTTTCACTTTCATAGTCTAGGGAAATTAACATCTACCTGTCACCTTTTAATTTTGGCATCCTAAATACATGAAATGTAACTAATTATTTTATTGACTAATTGTGACTAATACCTCCAAGCTGATTTTTCAGTCCTCCCAACTGGGCTCTGCTACTTAGGCATGAAATATTTTTTTCCTTCTCTTAAAAACAGCAACAAAATCATTTTGCCGAGGTTGATTTTTATTCACTACTTTTTATTCACAGTCTACTATCGTATTTCTCACATATACCCTGTTTCTCTCTCTCTAAATGCCATTGCGAATATTTCATTCATTTACTCATCACTGTACCCATGTATGGAATTCCTCTGCCCCTGAGCATTTGTTCACTGTTGCTATTTTCCTTGCCTCATCTCCACGCCTTACCTGGAGTTGATTTATCACTGTGGACTCTTCTCTTGCCCAAGCTGACACTTTCTGTGTGGTTAATTATTTTCACTTTTCTAATCTTTCTCTGCTTTAGGCTACTTGCTGTCTACTGTTTCACAATCCCCTTTTCTAACTAATGCTTGTGGCTGCCATTCTAGATGTTATCTTTACTTTTTCCCTCTGATTATAGACATGTGAGGTTTAACATCTATCTCAAAGTAATTCTCTCAGAGTGCTAACTCGCTTCATTTAATAATGATCTCTCTTGTAATGACACTAAAGCTCTGTCACCAAATTTTATCTTTATCAGAACTCTGTAGTAGCTGCCATTGGGCCCTCTCCTATTGCATTTCCCTTTGTCTCCTCAAAATGAAAGCCTAAGACGGAGCTTAATTTAGGTCTCTCTGTAGTCTTATTCCACCATTCATATTTCTGACATTCTATTATTTTTTCAACATTACCAGGTGTTTTCCTTTGATCATATGCTCAAACACTTAATGTATTAGCCAACCAATTGCTTGTCTAACTTTATCCTTTAACTTACTAACAAAATCTACCAACTACTCTTTTTCTACATGTTTTAGATATGACCATTTTTCTTATTCTTATTGACTTCATTTCACCTGAGGTTTTTATTAATTTATTCCTCTTTCATCACATTTAATGTTTCATTAAATGATCTCTCCATGTATAGTTTCCTTGTTTTTACCCACCTATATCACTAGATAATGGGTAACTTAATGAAACTCCCCACTACCTACACATCAATCTGCAAACGTTATTGAACAATACCATGCCAGTAAATTTGTAAGTGATTCAGGCAATATACAGATTTTTATAAAACGTTGTGTCTTTGCAAAAATATATTATCATTGAGGGGTTGTAAAATATTTACATATAGAAAGTTATATATAGTGTAAGATATATATATGTGCATGCAGGTGAGTGTGGGCAGGTGGGTGCATATTATGCCCAACTGTAGCTATATTGTAAACTCTAAAAAGAACTAAGAACCAAATATTATTAAACTATCAAAGTTTAAGTCAACTCTCAACGAGGCTTCTTCTTGTTTTCATTATGTGCACAGTTGTAGACACAGTAAAATCTTACTTATTATATGTTTCCAGAAAGGATAGGTGTGAGATCATAATATAAAGCAAGAAAAACAGGAGTCTGAAATTTAAAAAAATAGGAATCTATCATATCTACAAATTGGGAGGAGCATATTTAAGTGAACAGAAGCAACGAAAACAAAACATTGTCATCTGGGAATAAATCTAATGTAAGATTGGCAGGAAATTGTGGAGAGAACAGAAATGCTTCCAGTAACCCCTTAAACAAAGACCTTGGCTTTCTGGCCCCTTGGCTGTGAATCTGAATGTTCTGGACACATGATCCTTATGAATCATTAGGAGAAGATTCTTCCACTGTCTCTTCCAACACACTGTATATAGGTGAATATATGTTTAATTCTTCATAAAGACGATCATCTGGAACCTGATAAGGCAAAAATCATTCTATATCAACCACCAAGAAATTTTCCATCACTAGAAGTCTTGTTTGAGGAGCTTATCTCAGCTTCTTGTGTCTTTCTGAATCTCACACTCTCTCCCATTACACTCCAACCATTCCCTCCATCTCCAGAAAACTAGACTGGCTGTCCAAGAGGGCCCAAAAAAATTATAACAGTTGATGAAAACTTGGTGAGATTATTCTTCAGTATATTTGCTGCTGTTGTCTTTGGAGAAGAGTGATTTAAAAAGGTGTCCAGACTTGAATGCTTCAGGAATGTGGACAGATGGAGAGAGTGTTTCACTCATCGGTGTGAGTAAGTGTGTGTGTATCAAGTGCTAGTGATTCTCATCAAGGGTGTAAGGGATGGGGAGGCAAGTGGAAATGCAGTTGGTCATCATAAAATAGGAAGGAAAGAACGTTGAAGCTTTAGAACAAGTCAGAAGGGAAAAATCAAGGGGAAAAAAAGGGAGAGAGCAGGAACAAATATACAAATCTATTCTGGGACAGAAAACAAGGCCAGATACCTGTGTAGTTCCACCACATGCTGCCTGCTCATTCATCTCTCATACTCAACACACTTCAGGGCATCTGCATTTTAGACAATTACAAAGATCCCCTTTTTCTAACTCTCAGTCAGAAGGATTTATTATGACATTTGTGCTACCAATGAGTGTAAAATGTGATTTAAACCATGAGATTTGGAAACCAAAATAATGAAACTTGGAGAAACAATTTTCTGTAAGAAATGTTCCAGGAAATCCAGGCCATATTTTTAAGGGCTAAAGCTCAAATTCATTAGCCTGCCATTTAGGATTCAGTATCAGGCCCCCACCTACCTTACTTCTTGTGAATTCTTCTCCAACCCCATATACCGTGAGTGACACTGCACTGCAGAACCCCAGAATGGTGAGAAACAGAATCATCACCACAATTTCCTGTTGAACAACAACCAACAACAACCAAAAAGGTAATTAGAGTCATATAATAGGTACCTCAAAAGTTTATTCCTTATAGTAGCCCCTGCTTTTATCTCCCCTGCATGATCAGTCCTTCCAAATAACAAATGCTGGCGTGGATGTGGAGAGAGAGGAACACTCCTACACTGCTGGTGGGACTGCAAACTAGTTCAACCTCTGTGGAAAGCAATATGGAGATACCTTAAAGCGATACAAGTGAATCTACCATTTGATCCAGCAATCCCATTGCTGGGCATCTACCCAAAAGATCCAGTGACACTCTACAAAAAAGACACCTGCACTCGAATGTTTATAGCAGCACAACTCATAATTGCAAGGCTGTGGAAACAGCCCAAGTGCCCATCAATCCAAGAATGGATCAATAAAATGTGATATATGTATACCATGGAGTACTATTCAGCTCTAAGAAACAATGGTGATATAGCACATCTTATATTTTCCTGGTTAGAGCTGGAACCCATACTACTAAGTGAAGTATCCCAAGAATGGAAAAACAAGCACCACATATACTCACCAGCAAACTGGTATTAGCTGAGTAGCACCTAAGTGGACACATAGGTACTATAGTAACAGGGTATTAGGGAGGGGGGAGGGGAGAGGGGGATGGGTATATACATACATAATGAGTGGCATGTGCACCATCTGAGGGATGGTCATGCTGGAGATTCAGACTTGTGGGGGGAGGGGGGAAAGGGCACTTGTTGAAACCTTAAAATCTATACTCCCATAATATGCCAAAATAAAAAATAAATAAATAAAAAATAAAAAAATAAAAAGTGAAAATACATGGGAAATGCAGATGGTTGCTCACAGCAGATAACTCCAACCTTGAGGAATTTGGCTGGGGCAGAGGGAGCAGGCAGCCAGCATCTCCCTGGACTGCATGAACCTACAGGGCTCTATACTTTTGTGATAGAGACTACAAAAAAAGGATAGTGATCATGGTAAAGGAAAACAGGGCTTTTTACTTAGATTAGGACCCCAAATCTTAGCCATCCCATAAGAAATACATACAGTGGAAAAAGAAGCCAGAAAGCAGTTGTCAGAGTCAAAAACCTCTTCGCAACTGTAGTCGACAAAAGACGTGCTGTTCTTTAGGTTGATGATCAGGCAGACAATTCCTATCCCCCCAGCTATACTGCTGCCAGCGTTTGCCCCCAGGCGTCCTCTCACCTGATGATAAAGAAGAGCACTCAGACCTGGGGACACGGGCAGTAAACCTACCTGGGTTTAGGGGCTGAGTGCATCCAGTAAACTCTGCATTTGTTCAGAATTTAGGTTAAAAAGAGAAATCTTGAAAACGTATTCATTGTTTAATAAGAGTATATTACTTTCTAGCTGGACTGCATTCAGGAACCACATGGATACCCATGACCTCTCCTAAAACAGTCTCCTTATAATTGAAAACAAATCCTTTTTTTGATCATGTTCATATACCTACAAGGATGATACCTGTGTGAGGACTTTTTAAAACAAGTGTCTAGGTGATTAAACACTAGACACTTGTTTTCATTGCATGTCAAATGATACAATTTATGTATCTAATGATTATATCCAACTTCTGTTGCAAAAAGGCTTCCAATCCAAAGTAGATTGAAAAAAAATTGCATATCCACATTCACTAATAATATAGGAGATGAAGACATGTCTCTCTCAAGACTCCTAAATTTCTATTATTCTTAGCTTCTCAAGGATGGATAAAGACAGAATCGCAACTCACCAGATATTTGTCCTTTGCTGCATTTTTCCTTTCAGATATAATTGACAAAATTCCAGAAATAGCAAACTGTTCAAAAGGGAGGGCGGGAAATACAGTGAGTCTCTCTTCTTCAACATTTCATCCCCATTCCCCAAATATTTTGGGTACCTATAAAGCTGTCCATTAATGTCCCTTGTGAGCCCAGTATTCCTTATTCTTATTGCCTATAGAGTGTTTCTCAAAATTAAATATATACATGAATTATGTGAGGATCTTGTTAAAATGTGGATTCATATTCATTAGGTCCTGGATGAAGCCTAAAATTCTTCATTTATACCTGGCCCCCAGGTGACACTACCCCTGACAGCCCTTGGGTCATTCCCAGAGTAGCACGGTCCAGCAGCAACTGGTACATGACTCTTTTATTCCACTGCTCTCATTCTATTATAATCGTTTTGTTTGTATGTGCATCCGCTGTATTAGACTGTCCATTCCTATAGGCAAGAATTGTGTTTGTGGCATATATCTCTCCAGGGTCTAAAAATCTATTATTAATAGACAGACATGTAGTGATCACAGAAAGGTACATGATGAAAGATTTGGTAAAAATATAAGTCCAATAGCACAAATTCAAGATAATCTCTAAAAGACTCAGATTGTATGATGTGTTGAGAGACTCCTAATAAGCTAAGTGGTTGGAATGAACAGACAGTAGAGAGAAGTTCCAAATACAATACAGTAGAGGCATAAGGAGAGTCCTAAACAAGTGATCTGAGCACGAAGTGTCTAGCAGAGTGCCAAGCCAATGTTATATATTTTAGAGTTAAAATGTATTCTTTTGAATGAAGTATTGATACAAAAAACAAAACGGGTAATCACAAAATAATTATGCAGAGCAAAGGAAAACAGACAGTAAAGAGAACATGCTGTATAATTCTATTTATGTAAAGCTCTAGAAAATGCAAGTTAATTTATATTTATAGAAAGCATATCAGTGGTTTCTTGAGGATGGGAGGACAAGGAGTGGAGGGAGGGAAGTAGGCAGAGGTTCCAAAGTAGCACAGGGAAACTTTTGAGGATGATGGATATGTTAATTTATATTCATATGGTAATGTTTTTATGTGTGTATATATGTGGCAAAAATTATCAAAGTGTACAGTGTAAATATTTGCAATTTATTTTATGTCAATTGTACTTTTAAAAGCCACATATCCTTGTGATCTCAATCAGCCATCTATTTTCCAGACAGTACAATGATTAAAAGAGATACACTAAGGAGGAAGCACCTAAAAAAAGTTTCTAGGGCATAGAAATACACCAAATAACTGTTGACCTTGTTTTTTTTCACCTTGGCAATCTCTTTACCCTCCCTTCATGAAGATAACTTTTTTAATTGATAGATAAGATTATATGTACTTATCATGTAACTTTATTAATGAATAGTATTAGGGGTATTTTCCTGGAATTGCATTCTGAAAGTTTAGGTTCAATTTCTATTAGGTAAATGTCCCTTGGCCAAGTCATTTAAATTGTATTAGTCTCAGGTTTCTCATCTAATAAAACTGTGGGCTGAATGCTTAACCTACAGTTAATTATAGCAAGAATACTTTGATATTATTTTTAATGAGCACATATCTGTAAAGAATTATAAATATTAATACTGGCGATAAACAACTGGTTAGATCTAAGTAAGAGAAAACCTATGTTCAGTGTGATTTCAGAGACAATTGTAGATATATACTCACAAGTACTGCTCCCCAAAATGGATAGCCCACTTTAAATGATGAAAAAATATCTTCCTCAAAGTCTGAAACATTGATTACAGAGCAGACAATTGTTCCAAAATAAAGACATATCAAACCAGTCAGAATTTGTGTTACCTATAGAAAAACACATGGGTTTTGTGAAATTAGAATATATTTTCCCAAGATTGTATCAATTTCTTTATAATTGAGGTCAAATGTGAGGAATTGCTTTAGTGTATTAGAGTGATCTGAGAAGTGATCCAAATGTAATATTTTCCAGTATCCCCTGGACCCTATAAAAATTGTTACAAGCACTGCCTAATGCATGGATAGCCGATACATTTCTCATGTGCCTTTATTTGCATAGTCATGCTGGATATTAATCATTGTTCTTTCCATCTAAGTAAAGATAGAGACCATGAATCCTCCACTCCTACTTGCCATCCTTGTCCCAGTAACTTATGGTGTTTATAAGGAAATGCAAAAGGGTGTCCTTTGCAAAGGGGTGTCCTTAATAGGTGTCACCTCTTTATCTACCAGATTTTTTAGAGGGCTTGTTCCTCCTCCTGAACTCAAGTGGAAAAACAGTTGATGCAACCAAATATACTTTTCTAGAGAAACCCTTACTCTGGCTGAGGTTGGAGGATGCTCACTCACCCCCAGGAATTCCAGCTCTTTTTTCAGAAATGTTAGCCATATATTTTGTGGTGGGGACTTCTTTGGTAGAGTGCTATCATGGAAAGAGATTTCTGAGAGTCCAGATTCAGGTACACTGTGAAATTTAACAGAAATTTGGTTATGAGAAAATTCTCCAACTCCCTATACAAAGTCCTTGATTAATAGAAAGGGACTTTTTGTTTATTTTTTCAAAACACTCCTGTAACTGAAATCTTCATTGTAATGCCTAAGAAACCAAGGCTCAGAGGCTCCAACTAACTGACCAAGAACACCTAAACACTATCGAAGTGATTAGATGGGACAAAATGAAAAAAAAAAAAAAATGTGAACCCTTCCTTCCCTTAACCCAGGGTTATTTCCAAGTTCTTTCCTATCAATCTATATCGATAAGTAAAACTGAATACAATCAAACACATTTACCTATGCATCTCATAGTCCCTTTAACATAGAAATGTATCTGAATATATTTTGTCAATGACAAACTCGACTTCATATAACAGAGTACAGTAAAGGAATGGCTTTGAACTGCTAGTTGAATCTCTATTATTATTTTCATCTTCAGAGCAGCATCCCACAGCTTACGGTTCATAAAGACCAACCAGGCAGGAGGTCATTTTAGAAGGCATTTGTAAAAGCATGTGTGAGGAATATGCATCTCTCAGCACATATTAGACACAGAGGCAAGAGATCTACCTACATGCATAATATGAACTCTCCTGTCTCATACCCAGAATATGAGTTTCTAGGATGAGCAGCTCATATTCCCAGTTCATCTCCACCAATGACAAAGAATCACTTGGAAAGTATAGCAAATAGCTTCTTGATATCCAATATATTAATCACACTAGATGGGCCAATGCCTCAGTCCATAAATTGTCTTCTCCCAAGAACTGTAGCTGTGGCTTTCTCTGGCTCACTAGGTGACTGAAAATTGAAAGAAAAAAAATAATAATAATAGCCTTTACTTACCTGGGGGACCATTGTGGATTTGGGAGAGCGAGTTGTGCTCTGCTGCCATTTTCCGTGTCCATATTTTTCATTAACTGGGCTATCCAGGAGTGAAGACGAGTGTTATATTGAGGTTTAGTGGACTTTCTCTCACAGTGTGCTCTGGATATTCGTTTGAAATAAGTTGACTCACAACACCAAGCTTATCTTCATACATAAGCCATTTGTCAGATAGATAGGTCTCCTGGCTGATTAAGATCAACAGGGTTTTTCTTATTATGATAAATAGCAAAATTGAGAAGCTGACTGAATAGGGACTAGTATGAAATGAGGAAATTTGGGAGTTGTGGAGCATAATTCTGCCTGAGACTAGCAGGATTCACAGAACCTAAGAATGAGACTTTTTAGTGGGAGTTGAGAAGGTGAGAGAGAACTGCAGAACAGAGAGAGCTTTCTGTGTCCTTTCCAGATCTTTTCCTACTTGTGTCCCAATTCAGTCATTTCTGCATCAGAGGTTCTCCAGTTGCACCTTTGAAAAGCCTCTCTTCCCTGTTTAAGGCATGCTTGGCTTCACATGTAGACCTGAGGACAAAGATTATTTGTGTGCATGAGTGAGTTCAGTCTCTCAATATCTGTATCCATCTCTGACTTTATTATCTTTCTCTCTCTTCTTGCCTTTTGGACACGAATTACATGACTCTTTGCAGCAGATGGTCTCAGAAACAGGACAGGCAGAGGTCAGACTGCTGTAAACCATACCTGATAGAGTATAAAAGGTAAGAAGTTTTCACACTTCAAGACTCAATTGTCTGCTAAAGCATTAGACTGACTCTCTGCTGCTTGGATCTTTATAATGGCAGGAAAAGGATGATGAAAGCACTGAGCAGCATGAACGTGATAGCAAATCCCATGAGCAAATCTAAACAGCATTGGACTGAGCAGTATGCCTCAATTAGGGTCAGGGCCAAACCAATGTGTTCATTCCAATAGCATAACTAGCTAGACCATAGCAAAATGAGTATAGGTAAGATTCACAGAAGGTTTGAATCTCTTTTATTTAGTTTAATTACAGACACAACCTTGGATGGTTCTTCAATAAACTTCAAGATACCACAGATTTTTCCTCTAGTCACCTGTGTTGTTTTTCTGGGATGTGATAAAATTCTTGCTCATGGGAAACTAAGATATTTGCATGAACAGAGAATACTAAAAGACATATTGGCATACTTTTTATAGTGAAAACAGAATAGTCCAGGTACCATGTTCCCACTGTGTCTTCAGGAATTGATAGACTTACAAAGTGCTATTGGAATTAAAAAATAAACCTAATTGACTTATACATTCATCAAAAAATGACTTTATGTTCCATGCAAGGCACTCGCTGCTCTTATCACTGAGCACGCACAAGTGAACTCCATGGTCCTAGACCCTATCTAACCGCAATGAAGCAGAGTAGAACAAAAGTAAATGACATATCATTACTCAGTATGTCAGAGGCTAGAGGATGTTGAGACACACAGAAGGACACAATTCTTCCTGATAAGGGGTATGTTGAGTTCAAGGAAGGAATTTTCAGAGAAGGTAACATTTGAGACTGGACTTAAAATGACAGCCTCAGGAATTTTCCCTTGCTTGTCTCTCTCTCAGTGAAATCATCGCACATCCGCTGGGGAAAGTCCTGAAGTAATGGTGTTTGTCTGTACAGTGTTTCCTAGGCATTTATAATAAGTAATCATGTGTATGTTAAATAACCAGGAATCAGACTTGAGATTTAGATAGGAAACAGACTGAGTATGGTCTCTATTGTTTACACGTGGTGCTATTTTGTGAGAATTTTCAACAGAACCTTGCAAAATGCAAATCAGAAACTGTCATACCTCATGACCTCCCAATTGTTTCATATCCCAGTTTTCACCAGCACCTTCTTGCCCCTTTGTGAGATGCTTATCATTTTCTGTGCCCACACTTCGGTTCCCTACAGCCATGCTCTACCATCTGTGACAATAATGAACATCGAAACATATCACAAAATGACTTTTTCTTGGTGAGACAAAATCATCAAGATAACTATCCATGAATACCTACTGATATAAATAATTTAATAGATAAATGAGAGAGAAGGGATAAATCTTTCTTGTAGAAAAATTTAAATAATAAACGAAGGAGAAATGAGAAAAATAGAAAATCGCCTTTGACATCACAGTAGTAATTGCTACAGGCAAAATCTACATGTGAATGCTAAAATTTGTAGCTTTTGCCAATCTCTCTGGTGCAAATACTCTGACCACAGCCAATTTCAAGCTACCCAAATTATGTTCACTTGTGCTGCCTGAAAATTTAAAATTGAGTCTGGCAGACTAATATAGGCCAGTTCCAACATACCACTGCATAAACTTACAGTTGTTCCTTAGGACTCACAGAGTTGCCTCATTTTATAATCTGTGATGTATACATTTCTCTCTCCAAATTTATATCTTTCCATCTATCCATTATATACTAAAGTTAGACCTACTAAACTCTCTAGCTCATTCCTTGAATATTCAAAATTCTTTCTAGAGGCTTTTGCATCTTCTTTAATTTCCCCTTAATCATGCTAATTCATGGTCATTTTTAAGATATCAGTTAAGAAAAGTCTTCTAAAAAATTATCACCTAGGCTGGGCGTGGTGTTTCACGCCTATAATCCTAGCATTCTGGGAGGCCGAGGCGGGCAGATCGCTCAAGGTCAGGAGTTTGAAACCAGCCAGAGCAAGAGTGAGACCTCGTCTCTACTAAAAATAGAAAGAAATTAATTGGCCAACTAAAAATATATAGAAAAAATTAGCCGGGCATGGTGGCACATGCCTGTAGTCCCAGCTACTCAGGAGGCTGAGGCAGCAGGATCACTTGAGCCCAGGAATTTGAGGTTGCTGTGAGCTAGGTTGATGCCATGGCACTCTAGCCCAGGCAACAGAGCGAGACTCTGTCTCAAAAAAAATAAAAATTATCACCTACATCTCCCCTAACCTGGATTAGAATCTCATCCTATGTGCTTCCCAAGATTTCTACACTCTTCCTATTATACCCCTTATATGTTCCTATGGGTCTATTTCTCCCACTGTGAGCAACTTGATAAAGACTGTGCATCATTCTCTATTGTTTGCCAAACTCTTAGCACGGTACAGGCCACATGGTGGGGACTTGTTGAATGCATTAAAAAAAATAAATAAATGAAAGAATGAGTGAATATATATTATAGAAGTAGGCTATATTTAGAATTAGTAGAGAGGAATGTAAAAGAATCTGTGCACATAGGATAAGCAAGTAACTAAGAGTAGCTTATGAGTACAAACATATAGATGTCATCAATTCAGTATCAAGGGAAACAAAATTTATTAATCAGAAATGCAAGTACTCCATCCGATCTATTGATCAGGAGCTGAGAAATCAGAAGGAGTTTCAGCATCAAACTTCCATGTTGAAAAGATGGCCACTGAAGTTGCTGGAGGCCGTAGGAGGAGCCGAGATGGGAGCACGAAGGTTTCTGCCAGCTCTCTCCAGCAGCGGCAAGACCAACATCAACAGTGGCATCATTACCAGGTAGTTGTGCTATTTTACATTTTCCTTATTTTCATTTAACCTGCATAACAACTGATAAGGTAGCTGATATTATTACATCTATTTTACAGATAAGGAAAACATGGTCAGAGAGATTAAGTAACTTGCCCACGTTCAGACAGGTAGTAAGTGACAGTGTCAGAATTTGAACCCAGATCTGTCAGATTCTAAAGCCCTTGTTCTTTACTTCTCTGTTTTACGTTTCTCAAGGTCCTTCTGAAGAGGAAATATCGACCTTGCTCTCAAAGTCCCGGATCTAAACCATTATCTCAGTATCAGGGCATGTGTGAGCACCAGAAGCTGACTAAAACAAAGTCTCTAGACTAAACCCTCCCAGCTCAAAGATAGTGAAAATCTATCTCAATGATGATGATATTTAGTAATATAATTTCTTTATTTGATGGTTTTTGTAATGCTGATGTCAGCTAAAGTCAAGAAGCATTTTTCTGCAATGAAAAAAAATCTGGCTCATTTTCCTTTCCACTGGGTGGTTGGAAGTTGGATTTTAGGGAGAATACATGAAACAGGGATTATACTATCACCTTCCTTCCTCAAACCTCATAATGCAATGGAGTCGGTGGCTAAGAATAAAGGGAACCACTTTCTGGAAACAACTTTGGAGTAGTGATCATAGAGGTTACAAGTCCAAGAATGCCTATAGAAATATATTTGTCCTTCCATACCCAGAACACACTAGTGGGATTTATAGTTAGGACAGAAAGGATTGAGTCAAATGTCCAAGTTTCTTATAATTGGTGCCATAAAAGAAGGATTGAGTCTTATGAGCTCATATTCTCCTGAATTCTTGGGTGAATCTCTGACTCATTGGAGATTTACGGTTGAATTTTCATGGTCTCAGAATTCCTTTCATGAGGAGGCATGGCTGATTCCACAGAACTGGGAGTTGAAGAAGTCGCCTTGAAAATAAAACGTTAGTGTTCAAGAACTGGATCATCATCTTTCTCTCTTCCCATCCCTTCCTATAATCACCATGATCATCACCAATAACATTCATTCACTGATTATTACTGTGATAAATACTGTATAAAGATTATATATGTAGTCCTGATAAAATCATTAGAAGAGAATGAAAAAATTATTTTCATTTTCCAGTTAAGATACCTAAAGTCTAGAAAAAAATTATTAATGTTTCCTGGGTCATACAGCTAGAAAGGGACAAGTTGCAAGAAAATAACTAAACTCAATTCCAGCTGTATATAAAATATGTATACTCTTAAATATTAAATACACTGTTTGCTCTTTCATATTCACATTTGAATTCTTTTTCAGCCTTCATTCCATTTCTAATATTCATATAATCTCTAACTCTAGAGAACTCCATAAATCATTACTACATAAAAGTTTCTGTTCAAGAGTCAGAAACTACTTCAAACCCTAGAAAGAGATTTGCAGATCATGTGAATCATTAGTCATTTCAACAAACCCACCTCTCTCAAATTGCAGCAGTTTGCCTTGCACCACATGGTTGAGACAGAGGTGGTTATGCACAACTCCACCAAGGTGAGGATTAGCATTAGAGACACCAGGCCCTAAGAAAACCCAGTAGAAACATTCAGAAAGAAAAAAATGACAGCAGCAAACCCTCCCATAAAATAGACTACAACATCTCCCTCCCATAAAATGGAACAAAGTGAAAAATAAATTAGATTTAAGACACAGGTGCACAAAACACTGTAGAAGGGATACCCATCTCAATCAAAAAGCATGAAAACATTTTCCCTGAAGAGGGAGATGTGTTATGTTTCTGTATCAACCCACAAGAAGTAGCCATGAGGAGAAGAAGCTGTAGAAACAAAATTCTGACATTATCACTAACATCTACCAATCTGAAAAGTAGTCACCTAAGGACATGAGTAGGCAGTTTAGGAAAATGGACCAAAATGACCCCTCTACCATTTCATTAATCATACTTCATAGGGGCTTATGTATTATCCCTGGAAACTTTTTACCTTGTTTTTACCCCAGGTTTTTTTAATTCCAAATTAAATTTTTTGTTGGGTTATTGTTTTTTCTTTTTTTCTTGGGCCTTTTGGAAAAACCAATTCCAAATTTTTTTTTGGGGAAATTCCCCTTAATTCCCCGGGAAAAATTCGGTGTTGGTTAAAATTTTAATTTAGGTAATTAAAACTATAATAAAGAAAATGAGGACATAAACTTCTATGAATAGTATCAGAAAACAGGAGGCTTAGGAGTGAATCTGTAAATAATAGTTTATAGATCATAGACTACCAGGTGAAATGGACAATTTCAAAGGAAAACATTAATTTCTAAGTTGACCTCAGAAGAGGTAGAATACCTAAACACCAACAAAAATAATCTGGTAGGGTTCTTAAAGAACTTACCTTTTAAAATACCATAGTCAAATAAATTCAAAAGTAAAGTCATTCGAAATTTCAAGGTATTATTTGAATATTCCACAGAGAAAGCTATAAATCTCTCAAGTTTGTTTTATTAAGCAAGGAAATGTGAAATAAAACTTTTTAAAAACGTAATCTCTCTGGGGAGTGAAACAGTAATATTAGCAACAGTACTAGTATCCATAATAGTATAACATGATGTGCTTAGCCCTGTTTTAATTGCTTATCCCATATTAACTTATTTAATTCTCCCATTAACTCCATGAGATGGGTACTATTATTAGCCTCATTTCAAAAATGAGACAATTAAAACACTGAGAGGTGATCTAACTTGCCCTTTATTACAGAGCTAATAGGTGGCAGGCCCAAGATTCAAATCAAAGTAGCATAGTACCTGACATGTTATTTTTCTGTATATTTTGGATTGTTTGCAATACTTTATGATTACACATATTTTTTCAAAAACATACGTTTGATGAGGAGCCCATGTAAATGCATAAGTCTGGAGACTTTGAAGACTGACAACTCTTGATTGACTGGATATTAACTGCTAAATTTATTGACAGAAAAACAATCCCAACCAGTGCAATTGTAGCACTGGCAATGTTCATTCCAAAACTGTTTTGCATCTAAAAAAGAATAAGAATTTTCTATTAATATATGCAACACATACTTTATTCTCTTGGTAACATTTTGTTGAAAAAAATATTGATAGAATGCAATAAACATTGCATTAAACACCCAGCAATATCCCAGATGCAAGGCGAACATCAATGAACATCAATGAACAAACAAAGATTCCCTTCCCCATGGAGCTTACATTCTAGCAATAAAGACGAAGAAAACAATAAACATACTGTAATAGGTAAATGACGTGGTATTTTTTGAAAGTGATTAAGTACTATGGGAATGAGACAAGGAGAATTCAGAAATCCAGAGAGAAGAGATATACTAAATAGGAATGACACTTGGGACAGCATGAAAGGGCTGAGGGTGTTGGCCAAGAGGATCTCGGGAGGAACTTCCTTGCAGTCAAGGAAACACTCAGTGCAAAGCCCTGAAGCCAGAATGTCCCAGGAAAGCAAGGGGGCCAAGGTGGTTGAAGGCAAGAAGACAATATTAGGAAATGAAGACAGGCAGTTAACAGGGAGCCACATCACATAGGGCCCCGCAAGTCACGAAAAGGACTTTTGTCCTAACTTTGAGAAACATACAAAGCCAATGAAGGATTGTGAGCAAACACGTTATATACTCAGATTTATGGTTTAAAGGGATCACTCTGTTTCCAAAGAGACTGGGAAGGAGAGGTTCAAGGATGAAAACAGGGAGCCCAATGAAGAGAGATGGGGTAAATTGGAGAAAGTGTCATCAGCAGAAAGATGAGACAAGGTTAACTCTGATGTAGCTTGAAGGCAGAGCCAACAGAATTTGCTGACAAACTGAATTCAGAATTGTGAAAGAAAGAAGAGTCAGGAAGATTCTAAGGTATTTGATCTGGGAATCTGGAAGAATGGGGTTCCCATCAGCTACCATGAGGAAGACTGTACATGGAGGTGGTTTGGGGAGGAAGAGGAGGAGTTTTGCAACTTTTAAACATCTAGGTGGAAGTAATTATACAGGCCAATTTGAAGCTCAGGAGAGAAATGTCAGCTGGAAATATTTATTTCAGGGTTCTGGGCATACAGATGTTATTCAAAGCCATGAGAATGAATGATATCACCAAAGAAGATTGAGAAGGGAAAATCGCAAAGAATTGAATTCTGGGGCACCACAACATTAAAAGGTCAGAGAGAAGAAAAGGAACCAGAAAGGGAGGAAGACTGAGAAGGAGAAATAAAGAGATGAAAGGAAAACTAGCCGATCAAGGTAAGCCAAGTGAAGAAATTATCAGAAGGAAGAGTGAGCAACCAACTGTGCTAAATGCTGCTCAGAGGTGAAGTTAGGTGAGAATCAAGAACCCATCGTTGTTTTAGCAATGTGGAAGTTTTTAGTAATCTTAAAGAGAGTAGTTACAGAGGGATGGAGGAGAAGAAAATAAAGTCTTATTGAAGTGGTTTTAATAGGATTTGGAGACAGATTTGGAGACAGAGTATGGATAAATCCCTTGAAAGGGTTTAGCTACAGAAGGAAAAACAAATTATACCTGTAGTTAGCAGGGGAAAATAATGTCAAGATTTCTTCTTGTTTTAAGTTGGGAAGAGTGACTGGATGCTTATATGCTGATTAAAAAGATCTAGTAGAGAAAGATAAATCAAAGTGGTGCATGCATGTGTGTGGTGAGGGGGGAAGGAATGGAATCTAATTCTCAAGTAGGGGGATCAACTTTACAGAAAAATCATAGGGCTGACCTATGGTAAGAGGCTAGAAGGAGAAATATATATTGATACAGATCTAGTCCATGAAGCAGATATTATAGTGGGAGTCCAAAAATGCTCCTTGTGATGGCTACCATTTTCTCAGAATAGGAAATAATAAGGCCATCAACAGAGAGTGAGGATTAGAGAAAAGGAATTGATGATTCAGGATAGAATAAAACGGTGAAATAGTCATCTAGGCAGGAGGGAAAGTGCATGGATGGAGTAGAGAGAGGAGCATCCATGGTAAATGAGTCAGTGAGATTGCATACTAAAGGCTTAGTAGTTGTTTAATGAATGACTAAAGGAAAGGAATTTCTCACTTTCACTTGTGCAACTAGTTAGTGGTGGGAGATCCTGTGCTCAAAATAATAAGAATCGGTCAAGCTGACAACATACAAAAATTAAGAAGCCTTTTTTCTAAGCTTCAGATTCATCACATATTTAAAGCAACCACCCCAGGTATGCATATTCACAATCTATGTGATCTTTTTGATAAGTCACCATCTGAATACTTTAAGAAAACTAATTTTCTTGAGTATTAAGTGACACTCAGTGTCTCAGCTCTATTGCCTACTGTCAATGACTAATTTATTTCTACTCCTGTGTTCATAGAAAAAGAAGAATTGCCACTTACCCGTACTCTCGTGGGTTTTCTCCCTGCTACAACGGACAAGGTTCCTGAACTAATAAACTGTTTGAAAACAGGAAATAAAGCAAATAAAGGAATATTAAGTCTCAACCATTTTCTTCTTCACCTTTTCTTGATTAGCAGATATCTAGCAAAGTCATACAAACCTTTTTTTTAAATTCACATCTTAGAACACAAAATGATGCTGCTCATTATTTTATATGACTAAAATTTTAAATTAAATTGTGAGCAAATTTATAATCTTTTCATTTTGTTTTACGTTTGGCTTCTTACTGGTTTGTGAGAGTGTGGCTACTTTAAAAACATATAATATATACATATAGTTAATGTAATTTGATTATATTATGCTCATATTTATATTAAATGTAAATAACATTTATTTGCATATATATAGATATAATATCATTCTCATGTTCTTACCCAAACTTCAGATAAGGTATTTATTTATTAGACTAGATATTCTGAAAGATCTTTTATAAATCTAAGTGTCCATATCTATTTACCCTCTAATTTTTAAATTATGACTGTGATATACTACTATTTCTATGACTCTAATTTTGATAGATTCAGTTCTGTACATATTTATGAATTTTTCAAAATCTTTATTCTGTTTTATTTATTTATTTTTATTTCAGCATATTATGGGGGTACAAATGTTTAGTTCATCCTGTTTTTTTACGTTATAAGTCTCTCACTCCTGTGGATTGGGGAAAAAGTTTCCAAAATCATGGAGAGCAAAGGCTTACTGCACAAAATTCAACTATTGAATTCTGGTTGAACATGAAGGAAAAAGCTTTCAATTCTATTTCAAATAACAAAAGTTATCATAGGAACCTTCTGAGTCACTACGCTCTGTGCTCTAATCCCAGCTTCATCTCATATCCATTGTGTAAAGTTGGATGAATCACTAAACCCCTCTTTGCCTCAGTTTCTTTTTCTGTATAATAGAGATGGGCATATCTCCATGTTACTATTACCAACATTATATCTGTGTGGGGATAAAAATGAAATACATATAAAGGGCTTAGCTATTCATCCAGCATACAGAAAACATTCAAATTATTAGCAACAACTAAGGTTTTATATACATTTTCCCATTTAATTTCAGAGACCCAAAGAGAAGGTCCTCATATTGTTTCTACCACTCTGGTGGGGAAATCAAAGGGTGAGAGCTCAAATATCTTTTCCAAAGTCATACAGTCAATAAGAACTAGTGAGAGAAAGATGAGTAAACACAAGGGATCATGGAGTCAATATATAACAGGGCATGTATGCGGTGGGGACGGAGGGGAATTAGATTAGAGCCGCAGGGAAGGCAGATCTGGAGGGCAACAGGATAGACCTCAGACCTTGCTCTGTAGGTGCTACAGAGCCAGAGAGGAGCTTCCAGCATTGGGAATCCAATGGTCAGATTTGAATATTAGTGTTGAAGATGCTAAAGTGGACACATAGGAACTACAGTAATAGGGTATTGGGCAGGTGGGAGCGGGGAGGGGGCAGGTGTATACCTACATAATGAGTGAGATGTGTACCATCTGGGGGATGGTCACGCTGGAAACTAAGACTTGTGGGGGAGGGGGAAAGGGCATTTTTTGAAACCTTAAAATTTGTACCCCCATAATATGCTGAAATAAAAAAAGAAGATGCTACAGAGTGAAATTCTCACTATTTTTTTTTACAAATTAATCCCACTTTCTGAGAAGACTCTTTACTGATCAAACAATTGAAATCCTTTATTATTCTCTTGTCTACAATATAGAAATTTTCCATTTAGATAGTCAAGATTCATATGTAAAGCAAATGTGTATCCTAGGTTTTTTAGAAAAAAAAATCAGATTTTAACTATTCCATCAGAATAATTTTAACTAAAAAGTGTAGAAATAGTAAATCCAAATGTTTTGGACTACACCCAGAAACAGTATACTGTATAATCTTTTATCAGAGTATGAGATCTGATTTTTGTCAAGAAAACTTAACCAAATTAAGAGTAATTTTCTTTCAAAGGAAATGTGAAGGATAGTAATTTTGAAAAAATATAAATTAGAGCCCAAGACTTGCTAAAAATTTTTTTCTTTATTTGTCAATAACATGTTCTATTCATTATTTTCAACTAACTTTCCCATCTTTCCATGATGGCATCTTTGTTTTTGATATTCAGTTCAGGACTGAACATGTATAAATTCTCAAAGGTCTAGCACCAAAATAAATAAGCTAATAATAATAGTCATAATTATAGCTGGCTAACAAATAGTTCCCATTACCATTTAAAAAAATGAACCATCAGATGAGTGATAATCATATGACAAAGCTGAATTTAAAAATTTTAAAGATTACCTAGCCTCAAAGCCTATTTATTCTGATTACATTTTGACCCATATAGGGAAAATGACTTGATTTTCAAACAGTAGTCACTAGACAAATTTATCTCCCAAGCCAGGACTCTTGGCTACACCATGAGGCAATTCAACAATATTCATTTTCCATTAAATTTTCTTAGTATCCAAAACTTAATACTATATAGATACTAAGTTAATTTTGTGACTTAATTTGTACTCAGAAAATGTGGTTTCTTTTAATCAGAAAGAAAGAGATTTTTATTACTTGCTTGTGTCAAGAATTACAAATCAAAACCACAGCACGCAACCCTCAAATAACCTGCAAACAATACTTTCATAATCAAACACATTTCTAGCAGTGGTATCTAAAGGATGACAGATGGCCAGGGAGTATGAGTACTCACAAACACAGCACCCCACATCGGGTATCCTGTGTAGAAGGTGAAGAAAAAGAAGTACCGGAAAAGGTGGGTCAAGTATTGCAAGGAACCCAGAAAAACACCCAAAGCCAGAATCACGGCTCCATTTAGGATCTGGATGGCCTGAAAGAAGAAGGAATAAAAAGGCATAATAATCATATTCTAAAATGTACATTGAAAAGACACCATTTTAATTTTCCTCAGAAAGGAAATGTCAGTGCTTGAAATGGTTAAAATGCCAAGCCTAAATTAACTGGGCAAGAGCTTACACTAGGACATTTTTTGTCCCACACTACCCCACCAATTCCAGTGGCAACCCTTCATCTTCGCCTCTCCTGCAAATTTCCATTCATTCTCATGAACTGCACTCAAAGGTGGCAGAGAGTGAAGGAGATATGGCTGGTGAGAGAGATGGAACCAAAGCCTTCCCAGCATGCTTTGGGACCCTAATATGGCAAAAGCAGACAGATGGTAGGAAGTAATCTCCTCAGCCTTTCCCTCAACCCAATTTTTTAGTTTAAAATATAGAATATGAGTGTCATAGGGCTCAGCCTCCTGATATGGGTGGTCAAAAGGCACAAAGGGAAAAAAAAAAAGGTCTTGGAATCTGTTTTCCAAGATTTTTTTCCACCGTGAAAGAATTTTTGCATTTCTACTCTCCAGGTCTATAGTGAGTCCCATTTGACTTTTCTTCAATTTGTCATTGACTCAGTGATGAACAATTCAGAAATGCTCCTTTAGGGGTGTAAATAAGGTTTTCCACATGAGACAGTTGACCCTTGAACAATGTGGTAGTTTGGGCTACCTAGCCCTTATGCAGTCAAACATCTGCATATAACTTCTGACTCCCCCAGAACTTAACTACTAATAACCTTCTGTTGACTAGAAGCCTCACTGATAACATTAACAATAGATTAACACATATTTTGTATGTTATGTGCATTATATACTGTATTCTTATAATAAAGTAAGCTAGAGAAAGGAAAATGTTATTAAGAAAATCATAAGGATGACAAAATATATTTACTATTCAGTAAGTGGAAGTGGATGATCAGAAAGTTCTTCATCCTCATCATCTTCACGTTGAGTAGGCTAAAGAGGAGGAGGAAGAGGAGGAGGAGGAAGAGGAGTCAGTCTTGCTGTCTCAGGTGTGGGAGAGAAAGGTAGAAGAAAATCCACATGTAAGTGGACCTCACAGCTGAAACACGTGTTGTTCAAGGGTCAACCGTATTTATTTTCTTACCTATTAAACCTATTTTTAAATTAAGGCTGACTTACCCCAAGGGTTTGTAGTACTGTCTTTTCATAATCTTGTGATCCATCAATGGGCTGGTAAACAGAATTATTCACACCCTCTGGTTCTGGCTGGCCACTGGGAGCACCACTGGACAAGGCTGTGCCCAGCTCTGCATTATCAACTTCCTGGGAGGCCATTTGGGGTTGTTTATGGCTATTATGGAGAAGAAATCCAAAGGCTTGAATGTAATCGAAGGGTTCAATTCTTTCCATACATCAGAATGACTCTCCATAAACGGGGCATGAGGGCAGAATAATAGAGTTTGCACGATGTTCAATTTCATTTTGTCTTGGAGTAGTAGACATTGTTGGGTCATTGTGGTAGGCCTAAGTACTTCACTTCACTTTAGAATGGTAAAGAACGATTCCTTTCTCATTTTTACATTCACTGATATATAGTCCCTGCCTCTCTTCAAATCAGTCGTGGGCAACCAGATGTATGGATTCTCTGAGCAGTGGTCTCTTATGTGAGAGTGATGGCTTTAGTCACATTCCAGTAATGATAACAGATATTGTTTATTTAGTATTTACTACTGTGTGCCAGGCACATTCTAGTTGTTGTCAATGTATTCATATATATAATCCTCCCAAGAACTCTATGTTGTAATATTATCATTCCCATTTTATCAATGAGAAAACTGAGGCATGAAGAGATTGAGAAACTCAAACTCACACAGCTCATAAGTGATTTCATATTCTAGAAACATTCCACTCTAAGGTATAATATTTTTCTAAATCATTACATTATATAGCACTATATAGATGATGTCTTTCTGAGTAGCAATATAGCATAGTGGAGTTTAAGCACTATGGAAGAATCAAATTCAAATCCGAATTTGGTCATTTACTAGTTGCATGACCAAGTAGTGAGAACCTCAGTTTTCACATCTACAAAATAGGAGTAATTTGAATTTCATATTACTATTGCAAGAGTCAACTTTGATAATGTATTAAATCTTTAACCCACAAACAGCTGGTATCAACTCTTATACTCTGCATTATGCCAAAAAGTACTTAAAGTTTTGGATATAATAGTCACCAAACTACCACCTCAATCATTACAGCTAAAAAATGTGTATCACTAAAGTACACACAGAATGCTCATACTGTCCTTCTGAATGCTGAGCAATATAACTTCCTGATACATAGTGTTCTCCAAGACAAAACAATAGCAAAATGCTTATATGCTTTTATAATTGATGAGGGGAATGGTATAAGATTAAACATAAACCCCCTAAATGCTGAATTCTGACAAATCTATTAAGTAAGTTTACAATAAGATTTTAACTTCTACTTTTTTTGGAAATTATGCAGAAGATCCATTTTTCTAATAATTAATTCTGTGTCAAAATAAATACATGCCACTTCCTTTCAAGATGTTTATCTTTCTAATTCTCTATTATAGAGGCATGAGTCATACTTACTCAAGTGTAGTAACAAATTGCTAAGGTGTTAATTTAAAAGAAAGTGAGGGTTAGCACATGTTCTAATCTTATCACATTGGAAATTGCTATAAAAGTTCATGACATTTCCATAAAAGTTTCCAACCAATACCAATAAAAAGTTTATCATAAGCTTCATAGGAGTTTTCTACCAATACCGATTTTCATGCTACCATTAAATTGCATTGTCTATTTAAACACAGACAAATGTGAAATGACAAGGAGCCCTTACTTCTGTGTTCAACACTGTGCACAGACTCCAAGAGTGAGGGAAGATCAACAAAGCTTACAATGAACTCTACATTAATGAATGCCTAATGTAATTATGTACAAGGAATATAGCCAAAAGTAGAATAACCTTATTTAAATCATCTTTTTTAGTCCTGGCCATGGCTGGATGATGCACTCCTTCTGGTTACTCTCAGAATTCTCTTGACTTTCCTTCTCATACCACTTAATCAGCCTAACTTTCAATTGCCTGGATACTTGTCAGTTACCTCGTTATCTTCTCAGGATAACTCCAGTACCTAGCTCAGTGTCACCCTATGATGGGCACTCAGCTAACACATGTTTAATACATACATAAACTTTTTGTCCAGCCCGATGTAGCTTGCTTTATGGATGATAACAGAAAATACATCTGCATGCACTAAAACCTCTCATACAAAAATATTCCAGAGCTATTCAGGAGAGAGGGAATCTAACTATATTATTTAATTTGACTTGTTTTAAATAATCAGAGAGAATTTTCAGCCTTCAGATAGAGAAAACTGTTATCTACAAAATTTGGTCAAGTTATCTCATTTAAAAACAAAGATACTCAGAGAGAAGTAGATTTTCCAGGAACCCACCAGTTAAGTTCACCTCCCCAGCTCTTCGTTTGGGACAGTCATTGTTCTGAGTGCTTAATTCATGTTGACTAATTTAGTTCTCACAACGACCACATGAATGGGTGTTTCTGTTATAATCATTTCTATTTAACAGATGAGGAAGCTGAGGAACATAGAGATTAAGTAACTTGCTCAAGGCCACACAGTCAGCAACTTGAATAGCTAAGGGTCAGAACCCGGCAACCTACTTCTGTTAATAGTTATCATTACACTATACTGTCCCCTGAGCTTATGCTGAAACTCACTCACCAAACCCCATACCTCAGTTGTGCCTGGACCAGTTCTCATGATCAGAGCTGGCAGATAGACTCAGATGCAGCTACTAGAATTTAATGTATCTTATATGGTGGGGGAGGTGTGTGCCCAAAGAAATATTTATATTAGTATGTCTAACATTTTTTTATCATGGCTCCAGAGAAACAATCACATTCTAAGGGGAGGCTGTCCTTATAGCTAACTGTTCCAGATCAGTATGCAGAAACCGAACAGAAAACTTTACAGACCTCCCAGCTGCCCCACTGGGAGGCATCTTTCACAGGCAGAAAAGAGAAGGGGATTTCTATGGAGAGGGAATCTACAGGGCTTACCTTGGAGGCTTCAGGCTTTGGCAGACTTCTTTCCTCCCAAGCCCATCTTGTTGCCAAGTAGGAGACACTCAGTAATGATCACTGTAGTGTCTTTTCCAGAAAACGGCGGCTTCTTCGGGCTTAACGTATCTTTGCCTTATGCAATACTTTCAGGGAGTCAGCAAAAATGTTTTGCGGGCTGACTGAGGGTGTGCTAATCACACCTGCATTTGAGGGCTCTCCGATCCATCTGCTTCCCCAAGGCTGAGGGATGATTAGGAAACTGGTGTCGGGGTAACTGTCTTCTGGCTTTCAGACATTGCTTAACACACTGTTGGAAAAAGAAATACAAGCAGCAAAAATGGGTAGATCAGTGGGAAGGGTTGGTGGGATGAGGTAGAACAGTTAGTTGCATAAGAAGAAGAGAGAGAATCAGACAGTGAAAGAACTGTCTGGAGAAGGGAGCATGCTCACTCAGGCACTTATTTCCCATAATGTGCCAGCAGTGCTGCTGTGTACCTTACACGCACCATCTGTGCAGTTCTCACAGGCTTGGAGAGCTTAATTACCCAATATCATAGGTATAATAATAAGGTGACTTGTAGTTTAAATGCATTAAGTAATTACTATGTATAAGTCACTGCTTCAAATTCTTTACAGATATTAACTCATTTCATCCTCATGATAACCCAGGACCTAGATAGTACTATGAACCCAATTTTTTGAAAGAGAAAACCATAGTATAGAAATGTTAACCAGCTTTCCCAACATTTAACCAGCAAAGCCTTATGCACAACCTGAGTTCTGTATACGGCGAAGCCAGGATCATGTCTGTTACCCCAGTGTGATTGTCAAAATCTCTCCTTGAAGTTTCAAATGTGGCCCATCTAGAGTTGTATAATCATCCTAAATAAATAAGTGTCCTGAAAGAGGTGATGGAAAGATCAGAGCCAAGTAGCAAGGTATAAGGAAGTGGGTAACATGGGAAGATTCAAATCACAATCCTTAAGAGGGACACAAGGTAGGGCCTGAGGGGATGGCCCAGAACTAGGGCACTGTCCCCGATTCATGGGGTGGGGAGGTTGTGAGAGACAGAAGAACATTCACAGCAAAGTAAGTGAGGTCCTAGTCCTGCAAACACAAATGGATCATAAGTGGGGACTTGGCCATAGGAAAGAGAATGAGGGCCACATATAAAGACCAAAGGGCAGTTTGGGGAGGAGAGATTGTGAACATGAAATAAGCAGCAAAAAACACACCAAGGTTCTGCAACCAGATTGACACCCAAGCTTGGAACAGATGCTCCAGAAGGTCTAGTTTCAGGGCAAAGAGAGGGGACGGACAGACAGCATAGAAGGCAGAGACAGAGGTCACAAGGAAATAGCTGAAAGGGTGGTAAAAGATACATGATCCTTCCCTCCCAGTTTTAGCTGGAGCCACTACAAATGGAATATTGAGGGAAAAAAAAAAAAAAAGAGTGACGAGAAGGTGCCTTAAGGGAAGGAGAAGAAGAAATACGAGGAAGTGAAAGGGGAAAAAAGTGGATCCTTTCAACATGCTTGTTTTGAATTTGGAGCTGCAGAAAGAAAGAGCCATAAAAGGAAGTTACTCAAACTCTAAGACTTTAGTTGTCCCATTTGTAAATTGAAGATCACAGTACCCACCTTAGGGAACAGGACAAAGTTTAAATGACAAAATGCATGGAAAAGTCTTAGTGAGTAAGATCTTTTCAAGAGTTAAAAATAAACAATAAAAAAGAGAAGGCTTTTCAATTCCTTAGAGAGAGACTGATTGTGAGAAACTGCTTTCAAGAGAAAGGGGGCCTGAAATACAAAGATCTGGGTTCCTTCTAGCTGGGGTGGCTCCCTTGAGCTTCTGCGTGGACACGGAGCATGTGTAAGGCTGCCAGGTTCCAATTGAGCACACGCCAGAGAGAATTCAGTGGGCCCACTTTGATCTTTAACTCGTCAACATGCTGTTCTTTAGAGCTGTCCAAATAACATTCTTAGTGAAGAGGGGCCATTCCTCAGCCACCAAAACCCCTGCACTAGTCAGAACCCCAGTCATCTGGGGAGTGTCCCTACTCACTGGCTCTCAGAATTTCCCTCAACTGTGGCTTAGGAGCTGAGGAGTCCCCAGATTTGAATATCACCTTCATTCTTTTTCTAGAGTAGAAACAACCTAGACTAGATACAGACTTTCTTCAATGAGCATCATTCCTCCAGATCATCTTTCCTCTCTGTCTTCTGTTACCAAGGCATTGCTTTTCTCTGGCTGGGGTCCCTTGGGTCTAGGGCTGTAGATAAAATACAGGATTCCCAGTTAACTTTTAATTTCAGAAAAAGAAAATTGTTTTTGTATATCTCACGTGATATTTGGGTATTTAAGGTAAGTCGGTTCCAAATATTGCATGGGATATAAATATACTAAAAAAAATTGTCTAAAAATCAAATTTACCTGGGATTCCTCAATTTTGGTTTGCGAAATATGGCAAACCTACTTAGGGATCAATTTCCACTCTTTTTCCTTAGACCATTACCAACCATTAATAGTCATGTAGTCAGCTCTGTGCTATCCTCTGGCCCCCAGTAAGGTTCCAGAGTTTGTCTGTGATGCTGGGTTTACTGCTCTCATTCTTGGTTTGAGGGGCTTTAACCAGTCCATGAGCAATATCAGAAGAGAAACGTCTCAAGATGCTGTTATTTCTCTTCCACAGGTGGAAGAGAGGGTCAGGTAATGAGTTATCCACAGTGGTGGCTGAGACTTTTGTGAATAACTTGTTTCCCTATCTGCCTGTGACTTTCCTTTAAGGATCTCGACAACCTCAGCAGAGAATCATCTATGTGGGTAGATGACAATGGGAAGGAAGAATAGGAAAGGGACAAGAGTTGTTCCTCTTAGCATAAAGTTTTGTATATTAAAGGAATTTGAGTTCCTTCTGATACACACCCAAAACTGTATAATGTGGGCTTCTGCTACCTCTTGAGTACCTGAATCCACAAAGAAAATATCCCAATAGGGATTCAATTGGAGTTCCCAGTCCACTGTGATATTAAATTTCTGTTTTATAAATGACTATGGGTCTTCCAAGAGAAGAGCAACCTACAGTTCACATAAAGCCACAGGTGATACGCACCTACAGGGATCCCACTCTGATCAATCTTGTTGATCCCCAGCTTATTGGCCAAGTGGACCTCCTGAGCATCTTTCAGTTGCTTCTGGTTTAAGTTCTCCCTCCAACCCCTTCATAAGTCATTCTCTGAGTAACTCACCAAGTCACTTTTTGCCTCCTTCTCAGTGTCAGCCTGCAGATTTCACTGGGTAGTTTCTGGGCCCTTTGGTAGGCTCTTCTGGGGACCATTTCACAAGCTGTGCTCAAGATCCTCCTGTGGGTCCATCCCTTGCTGGAACGTGGTTGAGTCTCTCCAATGCAAGTTGCCTGGATACCTTAATACAAGCGTCCTTAGATTCTTGCTTCCTTTTCCCCCTTGATTTTTCCATCTTCCCATCAAAATCCCTATTGGTCTTCAACATTTTTCTTTATAAAAGCATATATTTCATAGAAGAATTCTAATTTTCTAATAAAACAATGTCCCAGTCCAGATATCTGATATACTATTAAATATATCCTCACACATTTAGATTCATATGAGATGGAGATAATTGTGCCTATAGCCAGGCTGGCATTATTTTAATGTTAGGTTCATTGAAGTATAACTTAGACACTATAAATTTTTTAGGTACACAGTATTATTAATTTTTACAAATGTATATAGAAGTAAAAGCACTACCATAATCCAGCTAATATCATTACTCATCTACTAATTCCTGGCATGTTGAAGTTTTTTTCTCTTTAACAGCTGATCTCTAGCTTTATTACATCACTAAAACATAATTCTGAAAAAAACAAAAAGAATTCCTACTCTTACTTGCTTCCCTCTCCACTTCCCAAGAAAAACAGGGACATATTTTCAGGAAAATAAAACCAGCATTTAAATATATGATGTAATCAACTCTAATTCTTTGATGAATTTTAATCATACCAAGTCTAGCTTTGCCTCCAGAAAAACTAAAAACAAAGTATCATTTTTGTGAAATATATTGGATTTTATAAATATTCTTAATGAATTCATCCATCAGTGACATAAATAGAATGAAACAGAAAGCACCAAGACTGCCTCTTTTCCTCCCCTCGTCTCTTGATTTTTTAAGTCTCCTGGGGATTTCTCCTTCCTTTCATTCTCTGTGCCCATAGTCCCAACTACACAAGAGACTAAGGCAGAAGGATCACTTGAGACCAAGAGTTCAGGAGGATTGCTTGAACCCAGGGGTTGGGGTCCAGCCTGCAACAGCAACATTGCAAGAGCTCATATCTTAAAAAAAAAAAAACATTTTTTCGAATGTTCTCATCACAAAGAAATAATAAATGTTCAAGATGATGGATATGTTAATTACCCTGATTTTATCATTACACGATTTGTACATGTATTGAAACATATTATACCCCATAAACATGTACAATTATGTCAATCATAAATTTTTAAAAAAAGAAAATGAAGTAGCAGGATAAGGGGTTTTAGAGCCACCCTTCTAAAATCTAGCCACATCATCACTCTTTACCTCATACCACAAGAATATTGAAGAAATACCCAATAATTTTTTTTGTTCTTAGCAATCATTCATCTCTCAATATCAATATCCTCCCAAATCTGTTGATATAAAATCATTTTTGTTCTAGATTCTGTAAAAACACCCTCTATCCATTGCTAGACTTTAAGTTTTATTGAGAGCTGTGTAGTGCTTGAATAGTAATTGTTTTCTACTAAAGTTCAGCAACTTAAGATGAGAAGAGGCAGCTGAGTATAGTGGGGAATGCATACAGTGCATAGAGACAGATCTAGAGACAGCCCAACTTTGAAGCCTGGCACCAACACAAACCAGCTGTGTGACTTAGGCAAATGATTTAACCTAGGTTTTTTTCTTATCTGTAAAATTGGGATAATAGTGATACATAGCTCTTTAGGTTAAGAGGATTAAGTTACAATGTGCATATACCATTGCCTGACACTCATTAAACCCTCCAGAAGTTTTACCTCTCAGCTCTATATTAACTGCCAAAGATTATTAACCTGCTTTTACAATGTCAAATGTTTTGACAAGTAAACATCTATAGGCATTTTATTGAAAATGATAAGGTAGTAGCACTTTAATGTTTAAAAAATTAATAAAAATTATCTTGGCAAAATCTATTTCTAGAAGGATGTAGCATCTAAAATGTACATTCAATAAGCAATTGAATAGCCAATGGCACAGTTGAATTCTCATACATGATATAAGAAATCTCCCAAAATCAGAAGTTTTATTTTTGGAGTATTACATGTATAAACTCCCTGATTAGGGAAAAGATGATATAAAATAGCTGGTAATAAATAACCATTTAATGAATTTCTCTTAGGTGGCAGGATGATTCTATGATTGATCACTTAAATCAATTAATTATTCCAAGTGTGGAAGAACCATATTGGGGAAAAAGGAAAATCTAGTGTCAAATTTCAGCTAAGGGAGTGGTTATTTGCACTCTAGAAAATAAATTTCTTTCTGAAATAATTATCTAAATAGATTGTCACGTGGAATTATTTTTAAGACTTAACTTCACTGATTAATTAGGAAAGCCCACACAAATTCAAGTGTCTGCATATAAAAGGATTTTATCTTTCCTGAAAGTTAGCATGTTAAATTTTAGACCATGTTCAAAGTTTCCACTCTGGCACATTCAAATGTATATTTCTATTTTTTATTCTTACTGAAAAAATATTTAGAACATATTTCTTGGCAGTTCATATCAATTAGATCAAATCATTGTCCTTGAACACATATTGCTAAATCTACTATACAGAAAACAAAATTTAAATAGATAATATAAATTACCTAATAGTTAACATTAGATTAATAAGCCCCTATTGAATAAAATTACCTAAAAATATACCTTCATTAATCAGGGTCTTTGTTGAATCAGACTTTTTACAAATCAGATATGTAAGAAGAAATTTATATATCAACTATTTTTTATTTAAAAAAACCATTATTTTAAACAAAATACATGATATCAACTTTAAATTCTGTTTCTCCTCTAGGGGACAAGTTTGATCAGAATTTAATAATCCTAACTCTTCTGGTGTTGTCTGAAAGTCAGCCATGAAGGGACTGGGATCCAATTTTATTTCATTATCAGTGGATACTGGTGTAAGCCACACTGATTTTCTGAAGAAAAGAGAAACAGAAAGCAGACAGGATTAGCATACTTGGGATTAGGTCATTTTTATCACTGTCTAACAACACAATCATGTTCAACATGGCGATTTAGGAGCATGGCATAGTGCCAGATGCTACTCCTATTAGGTAATAGTGGACTCTTGGTATAGGATTTGGACCAATATTCTTATTAAAAAGACAATTCCAGATAGCCTCCCCATGAATGGCCTTGGATGATTTGTAATGCTTGCTTTAGTAGAGTCCCAGAGTACCCAGTAAAATCGATTTAGCCAAATGGATCCTAATAACAGTGAGTAAAAGCCACCAAAAGCGTAACCTGACGCAGTATGGTGGTGGAAAGATGTATCTGTATGTAAATGAGTGACAGAGCATGTGTGTGTGTGTGTGTGTGTGTGTGTACAATAATAAAATTCATGCACTAAAAACCAAATCATATATGTTTGTTGGTCTGGCTTTCATTTTTTTAAGGAATGTAAACTGCAAACATAATAATTACTATCAAAATAGGAATATCCTCTCATTACTATTATTCTTGTAGCCTATGAAGAAAGAGCAGCTCTAGGGCATTCTTTAGGTCAGAATTCTTTAGGGGATTCTTTAGGTCACTGTACACTACTCTAAGCATTGGGTAGGATATAGGAATGTGTGTGTGTGTGTGTGTGTGTGTGTGTGTGTGTGTGTGTGTGTGTATGAGAGAGAGAGTGAGAGAGAGACAGAGAGAATGAGAATATCAAGGGTTGATTTCTATTTAAGATTCAGCTACTTCCCAGAATATCACCAAATCCCTCAACCTTAATGGAAAAAAGTTAACAGGAAGATCAAGAGTATTAACAATGTGAATGTACTGAATGCCACTGAACTGTACACTTAAAATTGTTAAAATGGTATTTTATCTTATGTAATATTTTACCAAAAAATAAAATTTCTCCCTCCTCCCAAAAAAGTAATCTGATTATATTAAAATATATTGCACATTTACTCTGAGCTCTAAATTCATTTTTTGATGTCAACTATTTCCATATATTAAACAAGGATAGAATTTTTTCCCATAGTTTTCAGGTGGTTTCCAAGATTCATCACTCAGATTTATAATACTCAATGTAAATATTTTGGTGACACAGTAAAAAATGTATTAGAATACCATTCCCCTTAGTCTCAAAGTTCACATGGGATTTGATATTTCAGTTCCACAAAATTACAAGCAAAGTGCATTTAATGATTAAGCTGATAAACCCTTCCATTCATGAGTTAATATTAAAATGAAGAATTGGCTTTTCTTAACTTATTTAGCCACTTACTCTCCAAAGAGGGCATTAAACAATAAATTGTATCCAAAGAAGAGTATTATGAAGGAGAGAACATCAAAAAATATCAACTCTTTCACTTACTAAAAGTAACTTTTGAGTATTTAATGACTCTGCTTTGTAGTTGAGTTATCAATAAAATAACCTAGTTACACTAGATTGTTAGGACCATTCCAACTCTATTTGTTTTTATTGTAAAATAAATATTACATTTAAAAAATTAAAAAACAAAAAAAGTATTCATTAAAATATGTTATAAATGCTAATTTGGGATTTTTTTTTGGAATTACACTCATGGGTGAAACATGTTATAGTCTCTAAATTCTATGCTTCTGCAGAAGCTTCTGGTAAGCAAAGCTAAAGCTAAAACATCCAAGGAGCCAAGTCAGAGGGACTCACCTGGAGGCAGAACACTCCAGAGGGATTTTCTGATGGTCACAATGCATATTCCTTGGGGTAAAGTGTATCTCAGTTTGAAAAAGGAGTGTATCCTCAGAAATAATCTAGGAGAGCACAAAGTTTGGGTAGAAGGCATTTCTAGGAACAGAGGAGTCATATGCACATTTAAATAGGGTGTAGAAAACATTCAAGGTCTCAAAAATGGCTGTCACTCTTAGGTATATACAAAGGTCTGGCAATTCATGGGGAGAGAGGAAGACTGTTCTCTCTAAGAGTGGATTTAAAACCCCTGAGGGCAAAAGAATCCAATTCATTCAAACAAACTGCCACTTAGAGCCATTTTTGTGATTCACTAATGAGGTTTTCAAAGATTCTTTTGAGAAAGATGAATTGGAAATCAAATAACAAACTGGCTTAAAGCATAAGCTTTGGAGGGTAATCACCCTGACTGGGCCTCTAAACTACCAGCCACTAGCTGTGCCTCTCTGGAAGAATTGCTAAAGCACCTTCTGAAGCTCCAATTTTCTGATTCCTAAAATAAAGACAACCCCTTATTCAAAAGTGACAGTTCTATTTAGTCATTGGCCCAAAGTATTTGTATTGTATGAACATAAATTGTTTAAATCCGGGAATCTATGAGATGATAATACCCCAGGATAATGATGCCGTTTAAGATTTGTATCTAGCCAAATAGGCAACAGAGATTTTATTCCAATGAAAATCCACTTCCCATATTGATACACGTCCTCACTGGAGCATGGGTAGATTTCAAAGGACCTAACATTGAATATACCTTCCTGAATTGGCAGTTTTCCACATTAAAAGTGTTAAATGAAATTCAAAACTGTCTGCTAAACTTTTGTGAAATATAATAGAAGCCTAAAGACAACTTAAAATCAGTTCACTAACTGCCCTATAAATCTGTGTGCTGAGGTCCTGTGTATACAAAATGGTCCAATAGTCAGTGAAGGATAAGTGAGGAGTTCTGTTGTCACTTACCCATAGCTAAGAGCAAATATAGGGTTTTTTTTTTTTAAGAGATAGTAATTTTAATACCAGGCATAAAAGCCCAACAAAACATTTAGTATTTTTATAAATAATCACTATTCTCACCTTCGTCCTGATGCCACACTCATAAACAGGATATATAAAATCATATATATATGTTTGTATCCGAGTCACAGGGCAGCCCGTTCCCAGACATAATTCATCAGCAAATATATACAGATTGCTGCTGGGCATATATGGGCTAATTGAGACCATCATCCAGTCCATAGAACAACTTATTTTCACTGTGGAAAGAACCATCATGAGAAAATGTCAGATATGTATTTATCTGTCTTAAGGAAGAACTCAAAGAATATTCAGCTTTGCCCTTTGTGATAAATAAAAGGCCTTTCTTTCTCTGGCAAGGGTAACCATGACTTAAAGAAAAGCATACAAAGGGTTTTCATATTACCACTATTTCCAAAATGTCTGCCTAATATTGCCCCCAAATAACTAGAGTTCAGTTATTTCATAGAGAAAAAAAGAAAAAAAAACCAACATGCAAGGATAAGAAAAAACACAATCATAGAGACCCTTGCTTCCTCCTAAAGAAATTACAGCGGTACTTACATAAGAGAATCTATATCTAGAGCAGCCAGAACCAGAAACAATCTCAGGCTTAAGAGGAAATAGTCCAAAGAGAGAAAATCCACTATCTGGGATGGAAGTTGTATGAAAGTTTTATAGTAAATTATCCTCTATATTGAAATCTTCAGTAAGTCAATGCTAATCATTATCTGTAATGGGTTCATCTGGGGGAGCTGAGTCTTTTCAGCAATATTTATATGATTAATGGGCAAGTGGCCACAGAGAGCTCCAACACCATGGGGGCCTGGAGGTCCTTGGACTTTAGAGATAAATCGTCATCGAGAGGGTAAGGCAGTGCCTGTTTGGGAAAAGACATGGAGGGCGGGGAGGGCGGCGGTGCAGGCTGTGCCGAGGGGTCGTTGGAGAAGGCAAGTGCTTCTACATCAGTGATCGCAACCTCCAAATTACATCTTTCCATGTGTTTGGAATATCATTCTAACATCACCTAGAGAAGATGATTAGGAAGATCCTTCCTAAAGGGAAAAAAGTTCCAGCAGCTGGGATTAGAAATGGATTTCAAGGATAAGCAAGCATGCGCATAGCAAGTCCATGCTTCTGACTTTGTTAGTGTCGGTAGGAAAGACAGACACGAGCAGAGAAGTATGGAACTGGCGGTGTAAACAAACACATGCTGAATAAGAGAACCTACTGTAACAATAACAAGGTAAGGGTGACCACAACTATTACAAGAAAACATAACAGAAACAACACAGGGCACATTATACATTATAGTTTGTGCACCCCACAGTGGGCTTTGGACACCACAAGACATCTGGGCCTGATCACACAAGGTGAAAATCTTCCCCCACGCCTGATGCAGATCAGATCTCTGCAGAGGGATGGCAAGAAGGAGACAACATCCCCATTGGTCAAGAAAAAAAAAAGAAGAAGAGACAACGTCATGAAGGAGGAGAGGCCAGACAGAAAGAAAGAAAAGGAGAAACCCAAGAGACCCCAGTGCCACTGTCTGCTGGGACGTGTGCTGCTCTTAGACGATTTGGAGTATAGCATCGCTTGCCGAATACACAGAAACCCCAGTGCCACAGTCCACCAGGGTGCATGCCTGCTCTTAACCCCTTTAAGAGTGAATTTTTGCTTTAATAAACCCCGCTGCTTGCTGCTTCAAAGCCGTCTCTTGCTTTCATTCTTCTACTGCAAGAAGGCAAGAACCGAGGAGTTCAACAGCCATTAACCGCTTCACTCTGTTTTTTTCATACTAACATTAGAAAGTCAAGTTTCAGTTTGACATTCTGCGGTGGCCTCTCAAATAGCTGAGAAATTATTTGAGATAAAGCCCGAGGCACACACATAGCTGCTGAATGTATTAACTGAAACAGAATCTTCCTTGCACCCAAGCATCAGGAACTATATAGCTAGGGCCTGAACACCCTACTCGCCTCATCCCAAACAGCCAGAATTCCTTGTTCCTTCCTCTTTCTCTACATGTGCTATTTGTTTCAATAATTAGCTGCTTCTTGGTGAACTAATCTAGACATTCTGAAAGGTCCATGTTAGGTTAAATGGAAAGATATCAGAAGTTATATGTTTTCCTTGCTCCTAAACTGTTTATAGGCCAAATGAATAAATAAGAAATTCACATATCCATTCCAAAATAATACCCCACTCCAAACAGAAAGAAACAGATAAGACTACTTAAGAAAAAAACACAAAAGTAGTATTGAAATGCTGCCTAGAGTAGATGACATTTAGTCAGGATTTGAAACTGGGAAGCATCTGGATTCCAGGTAAAATAGAAAAGATACGTTGGCATCAACTTGTAGAGAGCATAGACTTCAATTTACTTTATCCTACTGGCTTTGCAGGACCATTGATGAGTTTGACATGAGTGAAGGTCAGAGCAATATATTTTAAAGAATAAGAGCAATATCACCATCGAGCAGAAATATGAAGTGCCTGAGAGCAGGAAGGTCCGTTAAACCAAGTCTCTTGCAATGCAATACAATCAAGTACTATTTAATTGGTAGCGGGTTTGAAAAGTTCAACTAAAACATACAGCCAAGGACTATAAACCTGAAAAACCTCTGCAAATGAAGATCAAGATAGAAGACCAAGACAGAGAAGGAGAGAAAATATAAATCAAAGCCCAAGAACTCAGACATTTAGGCAGAAAGAGAGAAATGTATCCTCCATATATTGATACATGTCTACTTGGCCTGAAAGTATTTCTTTTCTAGCAAATTAAAATCAGATCAGATCTCTGCAGGGGGAGAACACCTGCAGGGAAGGTGATCATTGTGAATAATCCTGTCAAAGAAGCATTCTCCAAAACTCATAATTTACCATTGATGTTCTCAGCACAAGCCCAAATCAAGGCAGCAGGGAAAATCAAGACTTCAAAGGCCACAGAGACCTTCATCTGGGCAGACCTCCGGCTCAGGACTGCACAGGAAACAGGAAGTGCTGGTTGGTTTAAGTGATTTTGCATGGCAACATCTGCTCAGCTGCCTTCATTTTTCCACTTAATTTGGGAGCTGACGGAGTACACCTATCACACTCTCAACCACCGGAAGGCCGGAGCTCTCCTGATTATCCAAACAATAAGACTCAAAGAGGCGTATCAGGAAAAAAGTGTTATTTGATAACCGTCTGCACAAGGCCTATTAAAAACATCTGAGAGGCTGGCGTGACACACATTTCCAAAAACTACTAAATTTTGGGAACTGTTTTTACTAGATAATGTTCAGGTGTCATTAGTTTCCATAAAACAGCCGCCCTAAATCACATATATTTGAAATCAAAAGACTATTCTATCTTCCTTTCTATAGGTTTGGCTGGAAGAATCAAAGCAGAAATGATGAACTTGACCAGGAACATAAATCCCTAGGAGAAGATAGGGTCTCACAGGAAAACCAACTTTCTTGGTATCAGGAAAATCCACAAATCCAGTACCATCCATCTCTGTTGATTTTTTCTAAATTATATATAGTTACTTCGGTCATTTTAAGCCTTATAAAACAAGAGGGCATTTTATATACATGCACATAACTTTGTATAATGAATACATATTCATTTCGATACTCACTTTAATAAAAGTTCTAGTTAAAGATTTTTATTGTATTTTCCTGAAAATATCAGTCAGGACCTAAATGTGACTGTGTAGTTTTAAAAGGAACTTAGAAATCAAACACTAAAAGTAAATAAAATTCATTATGAAGAAGACCCCAAAGGCAATCACAGCAGCAACAAAAATAAATAAATGGGGCCTGATCAAATTAAAAAGCTTCTGCACAGCAAGAACTGTCAAGAGAGCAACAGACAACCACAGAATGGGAGAAATTTTCGCAAGCTACATATCCGATAAAGGGCTGATAACTTAGAATCTATTTAGAACTCAGGAAATCAGCAGAAAAATCAAACAACCTGTCAAAAAATGGGCAAAGGACATGAACAGAAGTTCTAAAAGAACAGAATAATGGCCAACAAACATGAAAAATGCTCGGCACGTCTGCGGGACGTGTGTTGCTCAGACGATTTTGGAGTTATTAGCTGGCAGTGCACCAGTCATTATAGTTTGTGCACCCCACAGTGGGCTTTGGACACCACAAGACATCTGGGCCTGATCACACAAGGTGAAAATCTTCCCCCACGCCTGATGGCAAGAAGGAGACAACATCCCCATTGGTCAAGAAAAAAAAAAAAAGGAGAAGAGACAACGTCATGAAGGAGGAGAGGCCAGACAGAAAGAAAGAAAAGGAGAAACCCAAGAGACCCCAGTGCCTACTGTCTGCTGGGACTTGGAGTATAGCATCACTTGCCGAATACACAGAAACCCCAGTGCCACAGTCCACCAGGGTGCATGCCTGCTCTTAACCCCTTTAAGAGTGAACTTTTTCTTTAATAAACCCCGCTGCTTTCTGCTTCAAAGCTGTCTCTTGCTTTCATTCTTCTACTGCAAGAAGGCAAGAACCGAGGAGTTCAACAGCCATACTAACATTAGAAAGTCAAGTTTCAGTTTGACATTCTGTGGTGGCCTCTCAGATGGCTGAGAAATTATTTGAGATAAAGCCCGAGGCACACACATAGCTGCTGGATGTTTTAACTGAAACAGAATCTTCCTTGCACCCAAGCATCAGGAACTATATAGCTAGGGCCTGAACACCCTACTCACCTCATCCCAAACAGCCAGAATTCCTTGTTCCTTCCTCTTTCTCTACATGTGCTATTTGTTTCAATAATTAGCTGCTTCTTGGTGAGCTAATCTAGACATTCTGAAAGGTCCATGTTAGGTTAAATGGAAAGATATCAGAAGTTATATGTTTTCCTTGTTCCTAAACTGTTTATAGGCCAAATGAATAAATAAGAAATTCACATATCCATTCCAAAATAATACCCCACTCCAAACAGAAAGAAACAGATAACACTACTTAAGAAAAAAACACAAAAGTAGTATTGAAATGCTGCCTAGAGTAGATGACATTTAGTCAGGCTTTGAAACTGGGAAGCATCTGGATTCCAGGTAAAATAGAAAAGATACGTTGGCATCAACTTGTAGAGAGCATAGACTTCGATTTACTTTATCCTACTGTGTCGCGCCCACCTCGCCAGCAAGGAAGACGCGGCAACTGGAGTTCTTCTGACAGTGCTTTAATGGGGTTCCCTTTAGACTTACATGATGCGGAAGACCCTGAGCACAAGCTCTCACACACTTATATACTCTAAGGAAGGAGGGAAGTGATGGGGATAGGTTAAAAGCGCGCGAGGGTTATTACTGATAGGCCAAGCTAAGATCCTTCATATGCATACTTATAGAACAGGCCAGGACTTACTCTGTGCATGCGCTGAACTTGTTTACTACAGGCGGGCCACCGGAAATCGGCGCCATCTTGTAATGGCGTTGTCACCGCGCCCCACACTACTGGCTTTGCAGGACCATTGATGAGTTTGACATGAGTGAAGGTCAGAGCAATATATTTTAAAGAATAAGAGCGATATCACCATCGAGCAGAAATATGAAGTGCCTGAGAGCAGGAAGGTCCGTTAAACCAAGTCTCTTGCAATGCAATACAATCAAGTACTATTTAATTGGTAGCGGGTTTGAAAAGTTCAAC